GCTGACCTGCGCAACCCCCCCCCCCCACCACACAACACGCAGCCCAGCCACTTTCGCCGGTGCTCGCAGGGGAAGGTAGCCTCCCAGAGCCTGCCGACGCTCCTTCAGGTACTTGACCTGCCGAAGGAGGTGGACTTCGCGGTCCCTACAGCATCCGGTCTCCTCGAAACATCTCGAAACCCCCTCAACGAATCAAGCGCTAATGTTCACATCCCAGCCGAAAGCATTGATATTGCCTCCGGAGCATCCTCCTTGAGCGTAACAAAGTTTTCTGCCTGCAGGGTGCCAGAAATTGGCTCCTGCAGAACGATCTTTGCTGGGACCCAGGCATCTGCTTTACCCAGCTGCTCATCTGACAGAGGAATGCCCATGGCATCACCTGTAGGAGATGGAGTCTGGAACTAACCAGAGCTCTCAGGTATGGAACTCAGAAGCCCGGATAAAGCAGCTGGGCACGCCACGATAGGCTTTCCTTAATCAAGCACAGAATCTGCTCCAAGAAGCCTCACAGCCCTGATCCCTGAAAAACTGAGATCCGAACATGTCGGAGTCTGACATCATCTTCTTCTGATGAACCGTGTTTCTTCCCAGGAAGGTCTGCAGACTGTAGCCCTGTGCATGGCAGCAGCAGCGACAAAGTGCGTCGGCCGTTTGGGGTGCCATGGGCCTTGAGGGTCTTGACGAGAATCACCTCAGAGAAGCGTTCCATTGCGGAAGCGAGTGGAACAAGCCACCCATGCTTAGTCTAATCTGAGTACTGTATCTTTTTCTGTTCATCGTTCGTTCCAGGATTGAACAGGTAGGAAGCGTCCGTGATGAGAAGACAGAAAACCGTGAACGAGATCAGGGACAACTACGTGGAAAGGAATTACATTCATGCCATTCACTTCATGTCAGCCTAGGCACTGTGGGTCGGCCTCCCATCTCCGAGTTCTGTTCTGCCTTCGACCGCAAAGTCTTGCAAACAAAAACACACACACACATAAACACAATGCCGTGCGATGCCATGCAGGGCGCACCTGGGCAAAGGCTGCGTAGATCTTGGAGTGGTCGTGGCCACCAGGGACCTGGAAGGCCTGCAGATGTCGGCGCAGAGCCTCCTTCCTACCACAGCGGCCCTCGCTCTCCTCATTCTTGGAGCCCGTTTGGGGCTTCGCCGGCTCTTCCCCGGACCTCCAGCAGCTCCGCATCGCTCCAGTGCGCGACACGGTCCAGCAGCCCGTGCTTCTCGAAGATATCCTGCCACAAAGAATGCAGCTCGAGCGGACCAGCCAGGGAGGGAGCCCGGGGTGACTTCTCTTGCCTTGCGGATCAGCGCACCATCAGCCTTGGAGCCAGCACGTCACGCACACTGCAGTGCAACGCGCAACACCCACAAAAAGCATTCCCTCCAGCACTGCGCCTTCGCATGGAGGCGCTGGCAGTCGCCATCCACTGTGGATTCTAGTGCCTGACACAGGAATTTTGAGCCTGAAACTTTCTTGGACTCAGAGTTCTGTGAGCCTCAATGAGCTTGCCATCGTGGTCTTGCTCAATGAGTTCGTTGAACTTTCCACCCCAAATCAGCTTGATGACATCGAAGCCAGCTCCTCGGAAAGTTCCCTCGTACTCCTGCATGACCTTGGAATTGCCGCGGACCGGACCGTCCAAGCGCTGGTAGTTGCAGTTCACGATGAATATCATGTTGTTCAGGCGCTCTCTGCCTGCCACCGAGATAGCCGTGATGGACTCCGGCTCGTCCATCTCTCCATCACCCACGAAGGCCCAGACGCGGCTCTTGGAGGTGTCTGCCAGGCCTCTCAAGTGAAGATACCGAAAGAAGCGTGCCTGATAAACAGCGCCCAAAGGTCCCAGCCCCATGGACACTGTAGGATTCTCCCAGAAATGTGGCATCAAACGAGGGTGCGGATAGCTTGAAACGCCATTGCCGGCGACCTCCCGTCGGAAGTTCATAACCTGGTCAATCGAGAGCCGACCCTCGACAAAGGCTCTCGAGTAGGCTCCGGGTGCAGCGTGCCCTTGCATCCACACACTGTCCCCTCGTCCATTACCGTAGTCCTTCCCTCGGAAGAAATGATTCATTCCGACCTCGATAACATCACAGATGGATGCAAAAGTGCCAATGTGACCTCCAACTCCGCCGCCTCGCCTGTTTGCATCGCTGACCATGACTGCTGCGTTCCAACGGATGATGTTGGAGAGGCGGTCCTCCATGGCCCTATCACCTGGATACGCCGGTTCGGCAGAGGTGGGAATGGAGTTCACCATGGGAGTGACTACGGGTTGCGAGATGTGCACCCCCAGGCGTGAGGCTTCTTCCATAAGCTCATGCATAAGGAAGCGAGCCCTTGTCGTTCCCAGGTTCTGGACAACTGCATCAAGCGACTCCAGCCACTCGTGAGTTTCCGTCTCATCAAACTTAGGCCTCGCTGCCCGAAGTCTCTCCTGGTTTGACGGAAAATGCCCTGTGTGCTGATGCATGAAGGCCAGAGAAGCCGAGAATGCAGGCATCTCTCCTTGCAGCCCTTTGGCAAATTCTCCATATGTGATAATGCCAGACTTGTCGGTGTCGAAGTGCGCGAAGAGAGACTCGCTCTCTGGATCGCTTAGCTTCAAACCCACAGAGGCCATCGTCTCCCGAAACTCCTCCGGGTCCAAGCCCTTCGAGACGTTCTGGTCAGCCCTTGCAAACCAAGAAGCCGACAGAGACGACAAGGTCGTAATGCCTTCCTTTGCAAATATGCTGCCGAGCTCGGACAAGAGATCGTGGGGTGAGCGATTGCCGCCGATGCCCACACCTGAGGGTGTGCCTCCATGTCGCCAGTGGAGGGCCATGCCGCGGGTCACTTGACGCAGCACCACCGGCCTCCGAAAGACATGGCCCCGGCAGAGGCGAGCGGCCAAAGTCATGCCACCACCACTGCCAAGGACTGGCCCAGGCAATCTATGGCGAAATCTAGATACTTAACTGAGAAATGGCACACGGAAAGCAGGCAGGACTCAGCGGACGCACAGTTTTTTATGCAGAGTATCAACAGCTCTCCCATCACACATCTGCCTGACATGGGAACAGTGGCTGGAGTTACACTGTGCTGAGGTCCCCGCGCCACTGCAGTCGGAGTCCTCCAAGAACAGCTTCCGTTGTCGGCCTTTGGATGTCTTCTGCACCGAGTGTGCAATGCCTGCTCGTCCTGCTCCGGCTCCACTGCTTCACTTCTTGGTACTCAGCAGCTACATGTCATACGATGAATGTGAGCCTCCGTGTGTGGAGCCCGAATATGTCGCGCCGTCTCATCATCTAATCAAAAGCATCGGCGGCTGCAATGCCAGCTGCATAGCCAGTCGACCAACAACCTTGGAAGTTAAAGCCGCCGGTGATACCGTCGATGTCCACGATCTCGCCTGCAAAGTGAAGTCCTGGACATGATCTCAACTCCATTCGGTCCCAATGGAGCTCTCGCACGTCCACACCACCTGCAGTAACGAATTCCTCCTTGTTCGTTCGACGGCCACAAACCTCAACCTCGAGTGCCGTGAGGTGATTCCAGACTGCAAGTGCAAGACACTTGCCGGCATCTGGAAACCCGAAGACAGCCCACGGCCACTGTGTTAGCGGCAAGCCGTCTACCCTGTACTGCCGCACGAAGGGTCTGAACTTGCTGTTACCTTCCTCGGTTTCGAGCTTTTGCAGCAGCCGTCTCCAAAGCCGGGCAGGCAATAGCCCTGGCCACGGTGACACATCTCCCACTGGCTTCCGTCGCACTGGAGGACGGTTACCGCGACCCAACGGGACAGCAAGTATCGCTTCGACGGCATCATCGAGAGTCAGTGATGGAACCCAGTTCACTCTCAACCTGACCCGATAACCAGCTTCTTGAAATGCAAAGGCAGCCCAAGCCGAAAGACGCAGAATTGCGGGCCCAGATAAGCCCTCATGGGTAATTAGCACGGCCCCGCGAATGCGAGGAAGATGCTCGCCCACGAGTTCGAGGGCGGCATCTGGCACGCTGAGTCCTTGTAAGCCTGCCAGGTCGCGGGAACCTGTCAAGACAGAGAACAGTGATGGAGCCAGCGGGCGAAGTTGGGCACCAGCGTCACACAACAACTTTTGCACAGAGCGCTTTTGAGCTGAACCCATGCACAAGATGGCACGCCTGCAAAGAATGGCTTGATGGCCAGACGCAGTTTGTACTTCGAGAGAGAATCGTGTGGGTTCTGCGGACGTCCTCTGCAATGTGCAAACTCGGCCTCCCAGTAGCATTCTGATACCAAGGGAGGCCGCTGTGTTCACCAAGCAGTCAACAATACTCTCAGACCTGTTTGAGGCAGGAAACACTCTTCCATCCTCTTCTGTTTTGAGCTGAACGCCTTTGGACTCAAACCACTTGGCGGCATGCACCGAACCATGCCGCACGGCTAGGTGAGTCATGATCTCCGAGCCCCGAGGGTAGCTGCTTTCAATTGAAGCCACCGGACTATGTGTAACATTACATCGACCTCCCCCTGAGATGCTGACTTTGTGGAGAAACTTTGAAGAACTTTCAACAATCAAGATCTCCTGTCCACGTCGCGTTGCCGTTGCGGCAGCTTCAGCGCATGCAATTGCTGCATAAAACCCAGCAGCTCCACCACCAACGACACAAAGCCCAACAGTGTGGGGAGAACGGGGCAGCGTGCGGACGATCGACATGAAGTTAATTGGCACCAAATCTAAACGTTAGCTTGGCGGACAAGAAGCGCAAACCACTGTTCCATGGTTTACCGAGGGGAGCGATGACACAAGACAGGATCGGGAAGGAACACCGACAACCATCAAGTCTTCGCCGGACCGAGGCTGCGGCACGGAAATGGAGTCGTTGCAAGCTGCAGCGCACAAAACACGAAGCAATGACCACACCAAAGGCTCGGAAACAGTAGCCTGTGTAAACCCACGATGCCCAAAAAAGCTTCAACTGGATTGACAACTCTGCGAAAACCAGACCTCGGAAGAGGAATGCCCTCGATGCTCGCGAGGCAAACCTTGCTCCAACAGGTCATGACAAAGCGTGAAGCGGGGGTCATACACCCAGGAAATCCCAGGAAGCTGGAAGGCCTGCAGGTCACAAGCTTCCAGAGAAGCTTCTTGAAAGGAATCGAAAGCGCTTTTTCCAGCTGCGCGAATCACATTGCCGAACGCCCCGTGGCCACGATGATGCTGAGTTAATGGGAAGACGTGCTGAAAAGTCAAGGCATCCAGAGTCTCGAAACTGCTCCGGATGCAGCTCTCACTCTCCGCCACTCAGCCACACTCCAGACAGGAGCGCTAGTAAGTACCTGAAATCTGAAGTCGTTTCTTCTTGTCCACTGCGACTTGGTACTCATCACCTGTCGAAGGTCAGCAGAATCTTGCCGACAGCTCTGCGGCTTTTCTGCCTGTCCATTGCTTGCTCGATGGCGTCATTGGACTCCAAGGCATCATACTTAGAGTCAATCGGCACTTCGGTAAGTTTACCGGAATCGAAGAAGCTATTTAGCTTTAGCATAAGGGATTTGGTTGGTAGCAGGAAGTACCAATCGTAGCCTTCTCTCTGCAATTGCAGGCCAAATGGTCGAGTGAATCCGTCCCAGAAAGTGCGAAACTGGTCTGAAGACTTGGGACATGGCCCTATCGCTAGGTAGGTTCCGTTTTCTTTCCGCAGTGGCCCCAGCATGGGCTCGTAGTTAGGATCCTCGGGAGCACTGCTTGTGACCGTGTCGTAGATGACATCAAAATAACGACCCTTCGAAAAGAGGCCAGCCATCTTGAAAGGCTGCTTGTAGTCGAAGACGGCATCAACGCTAGTATGCAGCTGCTTGACGAAGTCGACATTCTGACTTCCACAGATGCCGGTGACCTTTGCACCGATCGCACCTGCCAGCATCACTCCGAACTGGCCGCATCCACCCGACGCTCCCACAACGAGCACCTTTTGCTTTGGGCCGAGCCCACTGCACTCGTAGCCCATCAGGGTGGTAAGACCTGCGACACCGAGGCCAGCAGCTTCCTCGAAGCTCAGCTTGCCGGGGATTGGTACGGTCAGAAAGCAGGGCAGCACAGCAAACTCCCCTGCCACGCCGATCGAGATGCCCCACACCTTGTCCCCCGCCTTCACGTTGCATGCTCTCGACGTGCCGGCTGAAAGCACCACACCCGACACGTCGTATCCTATGGGCCAGTCTTTGCGCAAGTGTCTGATGAAAGGCCACGTGGCGGTAATCATGGGGTGCTTGAAGTTTGACGGATTGAGTGCCACCGCTTTAACTTGAATCAGGACTGAGAAGGAGGAATGATGAGGAACGGGTATGTCGGCCATTTTCCAACCAATATCTTCTCCGACTGTGTAGACAGCTGCACGCATGGTAGTGCGGCCAACGATTTCAGATGTGTCATACGTCAGCTGATTCAGATGCAGGCTGGACCCCCTCAATGCCTCAAAACCTCCCAGTAAAACTGCTGCAGCAAGCGCTTGGCAGGAGATGCATGTCAATTTCTTGGAACAACAGCACGCAAGTAGAAGCACGACCGCGACAGTTGATGCCTCTATGGCATATATTGTCGACTCCAGGGACATCGCGTGCCGAGACCCATGGGCTTGAGAGCTTGCACGTCTGAGAAAGACATGACAGAACAGTCAAAACCGTTGCAGCCTACAGCAACCGGCTGGTACTTTTTAAGAACATGCTCAGGACTCGGGCGCAGGACTGCTTGTAGCATTTCCAAGTTTGTGCTTCGCAGGCTCAGAGGTGCGGCAGGAGGCTGACCGAGGAGCCACCACATCAATCAGAAATTCAGATCTTGGAGATCTGGTTTGGCTTGACCAGCACCGAAGAGTCCTCTTCACGTAGCAGTGGCAGAACATGGCTCAGCAGCCCAAAGCACCAATCCGCGCCTCATCCACCAGAGCGACCTCGAATTTGCCAGTGGCGGCATCAAGTTTTCTGAGCACACCAATCTTCCCATCCAACTTGTCATCTGCGGTACCCTGCAGCTTGACCTTTACATGGACAAGCCATGCTTCAAAAAAACGATGGCTCCTCAACATTGCTATAGAACTACATAGTTGCAGGTGCCTTGTCGCCAGGTCTTAGCAGGACAGGTTCGTCTGCACCGGTTGCTGCCTTCTGCTCGTCCTTTCCCAAACCAAACGGGGTTTCCTTTTCCGCCTGACGGAAATTGTGCACTCGTGGAAGTGTGAGAGTTAGCGTCAGAACAAGCTCGACTGGCAAATCTGCCTGCTTCTCGATTTCTGAGAAGTCCCAGCCGTCCTCAGACTGACACGGACTCTCATCATTCATTGACAGAAGCAGAAGGACTCTACAATCCATCGGGACTTCCCTGGCAAGGCACATATTCACGAAGACGGCCGACAACAGGATATTTCACAGTGAAGTGCTTGTACCAGCCGGCAAGAGCCTTTCGCTGGTCTTCAGTGAACTGAGCCAAGGTGAAGTCGAGTTTGTTTGCCTGACATTCGGAGGCTGGCTTTCGGAACTTTTGGCCTTACGCCGATTTATGCCTGACAAGCGGTCGTATGGACGGGGCGCATCCTCCGGCTTCAAGGAAAGCGTGGCCAAGGCAAAGGTCGCATCCTTGCCCGCCCAGAGTCGCCCGTAGCCCTCGCCAACCTCGCAAGACTGAAAGAATAAAATGCAGGGAGAGGAGTGAGAATGCAATGGAAAATCCGAATCTGGGCATGACCGAGCAGCGGTGATGTTCTCACTGCTGGATACATTCACCTTGGAGCACTGGCTTAAGCGCCGCTCACAAAAGGGGTCAAGATGCTCTAAGCATCTCCAAGCGCATTCCAAGGCTCGACTTTGCCACAAACGCCCATGAAAATTGGTCCCGTCACGCCGTTAAATCTGCCCAGCAGCTGCAAGTCGAAGAGGCCATCCTTGCGAGACACATGGAGACTCTCAGACTCTCTTCGCTTCTCTACTCTGCCCTGCCCTGCTCTTCTCTCTTCCGAGCCAAGGCTCCGCTGGGATCTTGGTTGTACGCTTTCGTCTTAAAAAATAGAAAAGCAGGATAACTGCCAGCCCCAGAATAGACGTGCTTGCGAGGAGAGCGGGATTGCGGACGGCGCCTGATTCAAGCTCTGCCCATTCAACAAAGGCACAACAGTTCAACCAGGCACGCAAGGTGGAATGAGGAAGGCACCCATGGACACGCTCTCAGCATCCACTTGATCCATCCGCTGCGCTTCTCGTCTTGCCTATGATGCCTATGTTCATGCTGTTGCTTGGACTCTGCTCCAGCCTTGTCACCGTGGCTCGCCCTACACCTCGGTATGTATATTAATGACAGTACGAGGCTTTCTCTTGTTGAGCACCAGATGGCCTTGGAAGCAACGCCAAACTACTCGACTTACAGCACCCATCCCGACATCAGGATTAACCTCAAGGAGAGTGTCGTTTTTGGATCACTAACAGATAACCTTGCACGCTTTGACTACCTCTGGCATGTACCTCGTGCACGTACTCGAGCAACACTCCCAGGGTATGGCATCCGCAAGTTGGGGCCAGTAGCAATCCCCTGACCCCGAGACGCTCTGCGGGAAAAGCCACGTACCACAACTCGCTTGGTGTTTTCATTCATGTCTTGAGCGAGACAAGCTTCATGCGACTCAAATGCCGTTGCTCGGATCTTCTTGCTTCTTCTAGCTGCATGATCCGCGAAATCTTGCAGTTGATCTGCAAACCCCTGCTCTGCACATTCTACATGACTCGCACGCTGATTTCAATCATGAGCGTGGCACCGGCATTTAGGTGCTTTTTCTCGCTGTCCGATCTGACTCCGCAAGGCTTCGCGTTCCTGTTCCCAGCCTCCGTGCGGATGCGGTGATGAGCTCGTCATACGACGACCCGCCGGGAGTGTTACTCGGAGCCCGGCTCTGTCGTTCCTCGTCAAAGTCTTGGAATCGCGCACACGCCTTCCAGAAAGGAAGTGTTGCAGGGCAAAAAACAGATGGAGCACAAAGCCACAAGCCTGTTTTAGGCGCTGGTCCATGTCAAGAAGTCGATGCTCCGTGTCCTTCGGATAAGGAGCTTTCCTTGGTCCACTGTCGGGCTCCCCACTCCAACGCTCATTCACCTTGTCCTGTAAACCTATGCCACAAATTCAAAGCCAAGGGACAAAGCCTGGACATCCAGTGAGTCTCTCCTTCAGCCAAAGTATCAGGAACACAGATGCACACAGACGAACAGACACACACACACACACCCGCACGCATGCGCACACACACACACATACACACACACACACACACACTCACACACACACACGCGCGCGCACGTGCACGGACGCACGCACTCGCTTGTAGATATCGCCTCTCCGCTTTTCTGTCCGGTGCTCACCAGGCACACGACTAGCCCTTTGTCAAAACCAACCGAACACACACGACATCGAGACATCACCTCTCAGGGTATGTCATCAATGCTTATTGTCCGATTGCTTGGCCATTCGTCCTTGCCAGCAATACCCTTCGTAGATGGACTTGTAGGGAAAATAGTTGCTCTGAAACGTGATGCACTAAGACCGCACACGCACATATTATAGTCATTATGCTATGCGATGATTGCTGCACTGGGTCTCTCTCCAGGCATGTTGCAGTCCATTTTTTCGAACACACTGCACCAACCTCTGCTTTCGGAGAGTCATGCGGGACGGTAGACCAATATAGACGCCAGCCAACCAGCAGCAAGACAACCTAACGAAACCTCATCCATAGTAGTTACACACAATCTCTGTTTCCTTCCTACTATCGACATGCTCGAAGACTCGCACAATCGCCGGACACGCAGCAGATACTTGGAGTCCTCGAATGTGCTGAGCTGGAAAGGGACCTTCCGGCGTGAACAAACCTGGCACGCCGGGGGGAAAACCACGTGCGTTCCAAGACGGGACGTGTGTGGTCTGTGTTTGTGCGAGTGCATGTGTGTGTGTGTGTGTGTGCGTTTGTGTGTGTGTGTCTTTAGACATATCCACACACATGCACTCGCACAAACACA